TGACCCACCTTGCACCATGTTTTCTTTACAATTCATCCTTCACTACACGCATCAACTCATATATTGCCCCCATAGTAGGATACATTTCTGTGTCAACGATCCGTAAAACTTTGTAAAGAGGTTCAACACTTGGCACACATGTTCTGATTGAGTCCAAAAAGCATGATCAAGCACTATACTTTCCACCATACGACCTGCATTTGAGCGGCTGAAATTGTGGTTAGCCCAATCGTTACTAGTGAATAGTTGCTTCAACCCTGCTTTCTTCTGAAGTAGGCTGTCTAATGCAATATAGTTGGTGGCGAATCGAGTGGTAGTTGGACGAATAATTTCTCCTTTGCAAAATTCATGCATCTTTGCCAACAACCAACCGTGATTGTAAATATAATTTATGATCGTTCTAGCTCTTTTTACCACAGTAGCAAAGCAAGATTCTCTCTCTTCCACATTGCCTCACACATGAGATCAATACAATGTGATGCACATGATGTCCAAAACACATTATGATGCTTCATTAACTTTTTTCCAGCTTTGACAAATGCAGAACCATTGTCGGTCATGACTTGGACAACATTATGCTCTCCCATCTCCATGATTACATCCCTAAATAATTTGTAAATATACTTGTAGTTCTTTATTTGGTCTGAAGCATCAATAGACTTCAAAAAAATTGTCTTTCCCTTGGAGTATACCATGAAGTTTATGATAGACAATCTGGTCGGGCCAGTCCATCCGTCACACATGATTGTGCAACCATTAGTTTCCCACTTTGACCTCAACTTGTTAACATACTCGCCAATGTCTTTATACTCCATATCCAAATATTTGTTTCTTATCTCATAGGGAGTGGGAGGTTGTACTCCAACACCGGCCTGTTGACATCCCACTACCATATTTTTGAAATGATGTGATGATGCTTTCTCAGCAGGGACATTTTCATAGATAAAGAACTTGCTAATTAGACGCCCCATTCCCTCATTCACATTACCTCTAGTGAAATAACTCCAAACACTCTTTTGACGTGCTTTGGATGACTTATATAAACTTGGGGCTATTGGTGGTGTTGGTTGTGATTCTCTAAGACTGCCTCCCCGTCTCATTTGTGCACCACCACTTGTCCCGGAACCTTGTGCTCTATTAGAAATTTTATGAAGGTGTTCTCTTTCCCATGCTGACTGTTTGGAGGCGCATAATGCGTGTTTCAAACTGCGTCGTTCTTCAGGTCTCATGTCATCATCACATTCGTCCTCATCGTCATCATCATCATTGTCAACCGCTTGGCCATAGACTTCTCCTCGTAGCCCAGCTCGAATATTTTCCATTCCATGTGTTATCTTTTCCTTCTGCTGTTTTTTATTTTTTAATAATGTGCCGATGAATGCCTTCACTTCTGGGGAGACATTATCGCATTGTTGGACATTTTTTGCTGGATCTAATCCACTAAGATGGTACTTAAGTCGTGTCACTCCGCCACTCTTCATTACCCGACCACAATATTTGCAAATTGTGCCATGTTTGTTTCCGTCTATTGGGTCTCCATGTTCCCAAGCTGGATCACGTTTAGTAACTCCACTGGACATCTTAAACATACCTATATTTATTTTTCATGAAAATTAGACAATTATTTTTTGGCCAAAAAATATAGTAGTGATGACGGTTATATAAGAAAACCTAAATAATAAAGTTATTCTACAGAAGAATTAAATACGAAGTAAAGAAAATGATTGTAAAAATTTAAGTAATTATAAAAATAATATGGAATAATAAAACCTAATATTAATGAATAATAATCCAATTTGATAAAAAAAATCCTAATATAAAACATAGTGATGAATAATAATCCAATTTGATAATAATCCAATTTAATAATAATCCAATTTAATGAATAATCCAATTTGATAATAATCCAATTTAATGAATAATAATCCAATTTGATAATAAAAAAACCTAATATTAATGAATAATAATCCAATTTGATAATAAAACATAATATTAATAAAATAATAAATAACATTAAACATATTAAAATTATCCTAGGGAATAATTATACAACATTACTTAATTACTTAGAAAAATTAACATGTAATTGTTAACATTACTTAATTACTTACAAAAACTAACATGCAAGTTTTAATTACTTAAAAAAATTAACATGCAATTGTTAACATTACTTAATTACTTACAAAAACTAACATGCAAGTATTAATTACTTAAAAAAATTAACATACGAGTCCACACAAATTTTTTTTGTTGTTGTATAAATTACAATAATATAAATATAAGTTTGTAAACTTACTTTAAATATGGAACCTTTTGTGTTCAAGCTCTGGAATGAATCTGGAATGGCTTTGAAAGGGGTAATGGAAGAAGAAGAAACGAAAATGCTCTGAATGGCTCTGATACTCCACCTCTTGAAAGAATATCACAGATTCACAGTGGCACACGGTTTTGAATGAAACCACCATCCATGGTCTGAAATTGTACAAGTTATAATTGTAAAAGTGGTCTGAAATTGTCAAAATAATTGTAAAAGTTGTCAGAAATTCCTGATTGATTCCTGAGTCCTGACAAGAAGAACCCCACACACACACAATGCACGCAACCACACATGCACACAACGCACACACACAAACATCACACACGCAGACACACCTCTGTCTCTCTCTCTCGATCCTTCTCTATTCTCTCCATTCTCCACCCACACACACACACAGATCTCTCGATCTCTCTTCTCCCTTCTCCCACACACACACCACGGCCTTCTGCTCCTCCCTCTCCTTTCTCTCTACACCGAGACCCACATACACCTCTCATTTCTCTCTGCATCGAGACCCACACGCACACCATCGCACCTGCTCCGGCGAGTTTCTTCAATTTCTCCGGTTAGGTAAGCTTCGGGTTTTTCTTTTTCTGTTCTAGATCGAAGCTTAGATGTGAAATTGAAGTTCTATCTCGTGTTTTTGCAAGATTTTTGGGATGAAATCGGCTCGGGAATAGGCACACCCATCTCCGGCGAGGCCATGGGTGTCGACGAACTTTCCGAACACCTCCGACCGTTTCATGGCAAACAGACGTTATAAAAACGTTCCTCTCGTCTTCTATTTCATTTTCATACCTAGATCGGAGTCTAGGGGACTGTTTTACAGTCAGCCGGAGCTGTAGAAGCTCCGACGTTCGTCTTCGATTTGCCCAGTTCTGAAATTTCGCGATAATATCGACAATATCACGATATTATCGATATTATCGATAATATCGCGATATTTTGACGAAAACCATTTGGATATCAAGTAAAATATTGGCATTTTGTTCCTTGTATGTAACTACATATGTTGGCTTGGCGCCAACTGCCGCCGGTTACTTTGCATCAAAGTGTGCAATTTCGTTGTGGGTGCTTCTTTTGTTCTCAGTTTTAGTCAATGTCTCAATGACCACCGGGATGAACTTCTTCGAATTCATTAGGTGCATGTCCATTCATATGCACCTAACTATTTTTTGGTATGAATAGTTGCACCTTCTTATTTGCGAATGTTAAGGATAATTGCCGACATAAGCATAAACTGTAAGTTATTAATGCGTGAATAACTTAGATTCTAGACTTAAATGTCAAAATGGTCATCAATTTAGTCCATGTGTTTTCAATTTGGCCAAATTGGTCTCTGTGTTTATATTTGTTAGCCAATTCAAGACATTCCATTAAAGGACCAGTAAAATTGACATGTGTCAAGCACGTGTGAGGAAAAAAACGTAATTCTATGAACACCCACTAAACAAATACGATGCTTGTCTTTAGAAATTGATGTTTCGTTTGATTCACTTGAGTACTATGTGATTTAGGACATGTCAATTTTAACTGTCTTTTAACAGATTGTCTTGAATTAGCTAACAGATGTAATCACAGGGACCAAATTGGCCAAATTAAAAACATAGGGACTAAATTAGTCGATAGGTTAATACACATGGACCATTTGGACATTTAAGCCTAGATTCTAATTGGGAATTTGGTATTACAACATAGATATTAAAGTTGAGCATGATTCCTATGGTATGTGTGATGGAATGGATTTTTCATGGAAAAGAGTTTCCAAGGGAAGCCAAGATAACTATGGCAATGGTGGTTGTAGGAGTGAGCAATTGAGCATCTGTACAGTGACTGAGGTAAAAGGATTTTTTTTTTTTTTTTTTTGGTTAAGATCAAGACTGAGGTAAAAGTTAATGCTAAAGGCTTCCTATGTTCTTGTGTGGCTATCTTGTGTACATCAATACACCAAGTTGTATTTATCACTCAAGTTCCACTAACCTTTCAATTACATTTGGTAACAAAAAATTTCTTTGCAAGACGTGTTAAACCTAATAGATATACAAATTAAAACACTAACATGAAACTAACCTTGAGAAGACATCTTCGAAAGCACAGTAACAACAGACAACACCTAGAACTCAAAGCCAATATCTTCTGCACACTCACCACTTGTATAATTTGAATCAATGGGGAATTCTCTGAGTTTTGTATTTGTGGTATGTGCAAGGACCTGTAGCTAGTATTTACACTGACTTAAATCTAGTGAACCTTTCCATAATGATGTCATTAGGATAGAATCAACCAAATTTCATTCTAAATAGGATAGAATCAACAACTCTTTTTCCTTAAACAATATCGGATTATTAACTTTAATTTGGGTCCAAACTATATCTATGAATTAAACCCTAAAATTACTTACACTCCAGACAATCTTTATTAACTATGTAGACTTATTAGCTGTTGGACTAGAGTCTAACTTCCAAAAAGACGTCCGTTCTTAATTCGTAGAAACAAATATTTATTTTATCAATGACATACTCAGTTTCATATATGAACCATATTTAATAAGTTACTATAAAAATAACTCTACCTTGATTTGGTTAATTTGAAAAGAAAAGGAAATTAGGGTAAATAACAGATTTTATTTTATATAAATATAAATATGAATTATTAATTATTTTATCAGACAATTATCCATTTGTTGGTTGTGATTGGAAATAGGAATGAACACTTCGCTCAATGTAGCAGCTAATGAGAGGCCTGGATTGCATATGGCGCTTCCCCAACGCCCACTCTCGCCGCCATTTATGTCCCCTGATCTCTCCTCCTCCGTCTTCACCGCCGCCGAGAAAAACCGTCCTCCTATTCTCTCCCACATCGAACACCCAAACCAGAACAATCGACACCAAAAATGCCAGTGCTGGGTACACGTCAAACACAAGAACTAGTAAACCCATAAAAAACGGCAGAGCTCTCACTCCCAGACCTCCTCTCTCCCTCCCTCAAACCCAACAAACCCAGCAACAAAACGATGACAATGACAACGCAGAAGAACAAGAAGAAGAAGAGGAAGATGAAGATGAAAGCAGAGCACAAGGCCGTGGCCGCGGGAACTGGACTATAGTGCTTTCGTCGAGCTTGGTGGGTCTGCTCACCGGAATCGGCGTCGTTCTCTTCAATTACTCTGTATGTTTGATTTTTACCCATTACCCAATTTTCCATTTTTGCTGTTCTTGCTTGCTTGTTTGTAAAGTTTTGAGATTTATCTGAGATTTTACACGAATTGTAATGTTCATGAGATACATTAGCTTGCTTGTCTGCTAGGGCTCTTCAGTTACATGTTTTTGTTAACTCATTGCGAAAATGTTAAAAAAATTGTCAGAAAGTGTTGTCCACCTGTTTGTCTTGAGTGTTGCAACACTTGAGGGGGGCAGTGAGGATATGAAAAACTGTCCCACGCCGGAAAGTTAAGGAACCTTGCATAGACTTATAAGGAGTCGGGATATACCCCATTGCCAATTTGGGGTGGAACCTCAACTTCCGTCACTTTTACACATTTTTCCTTTACTTTTTTCTTGCTTGCCTTATGGGTAAAGTTTTGAGCATTTTCTGAGATTTTGATATGAATGGGAAGGTAAATGAGATCCGTGATGTGTTCTGGGGTGGGATGCCTCAACGGGGAGCTTCATGGCTGAGAGAGGAGTACGTGGGAGATACGTGGAAGCAGGTGATTCTGGTTCCGGCTTCTGGGGGTTTGATCGTTGCCATATTAAACTTTCTTCGAGATGCTCTCGAGGATGGTTCACAAGATAGCAATGGCAATGAGCAAGGTGGAGAAAAAGGGGAGAATTTATTAGTGAAAATGGGAATGCCTGTTTCGGTTTTTGATGGTCTCAAGGCTGCATCGCGTCCTTTTCTCAAGGCAATTGCTGCTTGTGTTACACTTGGGACTGGGAATTCGTTAGGTCCCGAAGGTCCTAGCGTTGAGATTGGAACTTCTATAGCCAAGGGTGTCGGTGCTGTGTTTGATAAAAGTTCGCAAAGAAGGCTTTCTCTTGTGGCTGCTGGATCAGCTGCTGGAATTGCTTCGGGTTGGTCTTCAGTTACGTATTTATCTGTTCTGCCATTATCAATACATATTTGCCCTCATTGTAATTGTTGTTCTGTTTTGACAGGGTTTAATGCTGCTGTTTCGGGTTGTTTCTTTGCTGTAGAGTCAGTCTTATGGCCATCACCATCTGATTCCTCATCTATTTCGCTTGTGAATACCACTTCTATGGTCATACTTAGTGCTGTGATAGCTTCTGTAGTTTCAGAAGTTGGTCTAGGTTCTGAACCAGCCTTTAAGGTCCCATACTATGACTTCCGCTCACCTACTGGTACACTATTAATTCCTCAAATTGATACATATAAAAACTTATGTGCCGAGTGAAATTTATTTAATTAATTTCTGCAATTGACTATGGCATCAGTACATAATCTATGAGTATTTACTTGTTCCTGGTAATTTGCTTTGCCTTTACGGAATACGGTTTCTGAATTTTCCCATTATTTGGGTAGTTGATTTCCATTGCATATTCCAAATGGGTAATTTCATAAATGATTGTGTTACAACACTAGTTTATTCACTCTATTGGGATGAATTTTTCAGGCATACCTTTAGTATATCTATAGGTAGATGTTCAAGTTATTGTTTAAAGCTGCAGTTTTAACAATGAGACGTATTCAAATCATTTTCAGAACTTCCGCTATATCTATTGCTGGGTGTCCTATGTGGCTTGGTTTCGTTAACCTTATCAAAGTGCACATCGTACATGTTGGTATTTGTTGACAATCTTCACAAGACCATTGGCCTACCAAAATTTTTGTTCCCTATCATGGGTGGGTTAGCAGTCGGACTTATGGCATTGGCATATCCTGAAATTCTTTATCGGGGTTTCGAGAATGTTGACATTTTGCTGGAGTCTCAACCACTTGAGAAATGCCTCTCAGCTGATCTGTTACTTCAGCTGGTAGTGGTCAAGATAGGTGCAACCTCATTGTCTCGAGCCTCTGGATTAGTTGGAGGCTTCTATGCTCCATCACTTTTTATTGGTGCAGCAACAGGAATGGCATACGGGAAATTCATCAGTTCTGCAGTTGCTCAGTCCAGTCCTATGCTTCATCTTTCCGTCTTGGAAGTAGCATCACCACAAGCATACGGCCTGGTACAGTTCTATGCTATTTTCATATCTAGTAGATAGTTTACCTTCAAAACTGAAATGTCTAGTAATGCTCAACTCGTATGTTTTCATATATGCATTCTGTTTAGACTTTAGGCTCTTATTGTCAGAGACTCAGAAGCTAGTTGTTTCATTAGATAATTATTAATGTTTATAAAACAGAATGGCTCTCTATTCCGATCCAAATCTATTTTGATAATTTCTGAGAACAAAAATCACATTTGAATTACGAGGCCGCCTTGTGTAATTATCTAGAAACCTATAACCATTATCTTCAGGGGCAGATACCTTTCTTTTCAGAAGTACAATGTGTTTCCTGCATTTGTACTGTTTCTAAGGTGTAGAATGGTCTTTTGATAATTGACATGGAATGTACATAATACCAGTCTCCATGGTAACTTGAAAAGTCTTAAAACTTTTTTCGGTGAATATATTATTTCTCTTTCTAGTATCTCTCTGCTAAAATCAAAAGGATTCCCAAAATCTGGATGTAGTTGACGGTTGGAAAGGTCCCATTTACAGGTTGGAATGGCTGCTACTCTGGCAGGAGTCTGTCAAGTACCTCTGACGTCGGTTCTGCTGCTTTTTGAATTGACACAAGATTATCGTATTGTACTACCGCTACTTGGAGCTGTAGGGTTATCTTCGTGGATTACATCTGGACAGACAAGGAGAAAAGATATCTTGAAGACTAAGAAACTAAAACAGGGAAAGTCTAGTGGCAATCAACAACCTGAAGTACCTTCCCCTAGTGCAAGTGGGCTTTCTTCTAGTAATGCTTTCACATCTAATGCAAGCGACCTTTGTGAATTAGAGAGTTCACTCTGTATAGATGGTTCTGATATTAATACTGAGAACCTAGAGAAGAGGATATCTGTATCCGAGGCCATGAGGACAAGATATGTGACCATTTTAATGGACACGTTGCTTACAGAAGCAGTGACTCTCATGCTTGCAGAAAAGCAGCCCTGTGCCATGATTGTCGATGATGATCATATTCTAATTGGTTTACTGACACTTAGAGACATTCAAGAGTTCAGCAATAAATATGCAAAATCAAGACGACAAAGACCCAAGGTAACAACTAGTCCTGTGCTGCTGGATTATTTTCTTGCTTTACCGGTTCTAATTTTCCCCATCTACTAAAATTTGTGACCTGTTCAGCTTGAATAACTGATTGTACACGCTGCAGGAGCTTATAGTATCTGAAATGTGTTCTTCAGACGGGGAAGTATGCCGAGTACCATGGACGGCTACGCCTGCTATGACTCTACTTTCAGCTCAGAACATTATGAATAAGTATGGAATGAATCAAATTCCAGTTGTTACACAGCATGTTCAAGATCACAGAGGGCACTTAGTTGGCCTTCTAGACAGAGAATGTATCACTCTCACGTGCAGGTATCAGACCTTTTCTTTCCCCTCATAGCCTGTCTCTCGTTTCTTTATGTCAGCTTTATCGACAAGTTATATAGCAGGAGTATACTTTTCAATGAAAATTTTGGTGACAAATTCCATTCAACATTTTGCATTGCAATCCGCGCACTGGGGATTTTACAATTTCTAACCTTTCTTTCCTTTGGTTTGTGCAGAGCTTTAGCAACCAGAGAATCCCTTTGCAAGTGACCAATACCGGATGCACTGATTTGTTGATAAAACAGAATACCTGACATCAGATTTATTTTGGTAATACTGTCTGAGGACTCTCAACCTATCCCAGACACATACAATTCCGGCATCCACATGGTTGCTGCCTTAGACCGCCCAGTGCCACAGTCAGCAAAGCCTTCCAGTCGACGCTCTGATTGATGAAATCTGGGATCAGCTAGGTTGTCCTGCCCGAACAACTACCAAATCTATAAACAACTGATGGACATAGGAACATATACAAAGTTGGAAGAGAAACCGTCAAAATTGGGATTTTCCTTTTACCATTTTGCCTTGTAATATAGAGTTACTGGTTTTACTGCAATATCATACAGCTGATATCATTTGTTATAAGGAAAACTAATATAAAGGGCTTGAAAATTTTGAGTTTTAACGACAAGGACAAAATAAAGAGTAAAGTGAATAGTACCAGGTTTGACTTTTTGTAAAAATATGGTTTTTCGTTAAAGTGAACAGTACCGCGAACTTTTCGTTAAAACTCCCGTTATATCACTCCTACAGTTTTACTCGTGAAAAATGAAAATTCTTTTGCGTAAAGGATTCAAGCAGATTATTATCCTAATTTCTCACCTCCAACATTTTCGGAAGCGTTGATCACGTATGCCCAATCATTCTGGATAACGCCCAATCACTCCGGATAACACGTGTTTGAGTCTAGTAACTACTTGCTCCTATGTTTCAAGATTGAGTGAGGAGGTTGGAATGGCAAAGTTATAAGCATCACAAGACATCCTAAATTTCTAGTCCCATGTTCTTCCCAAATGAAAGGGGAAAATGGATTTTTAGAACACCAAAAGGAGGGACAGGACTACCGATTGGAATTATGATTCCTGAAATAAACACGGTTTTAGGGTTCCGACAAAAATATACAGTTTTAAGGTACGACAGTATAATTACAAATCGACGCATCTGCCAAATTTGGATACTTATCCATATAAGTTTAAACAAGCGTTGAATTCTTACCAAATACAAGAAATACTACGATACAGGAAATGCTAAGATGCATGAAATGCAACAGCTCAAATAAATTACCAACTTCACAAATCGTTGGACGGTTGAAAGTTTTTCTTTGTCGAGCGATGGATAAGTTAGAATGACTTGGTGATAAAGTCACCCCAAATAAATTTGCTCGTGATAACGTTTATATCTGGTCTGCAGGTTTATTCGTAGTCTCTTGTTCAACCTTCACAGCTGGTTCATCCGCAGATCCAGAGCCCATATCCAAAGCCTGCAAATATCAAAGTCGACAGAGAACTATTAGTGGGAGAGCGTTTTTATGTCAAAGCGAATCCTGATTTTATTGATGGCCTTATGTGTTAACTTCACCTTTGTTCCTGTCGTAATCTCATCTACTGCTGGATCATAGCCTGAGCTTCTAGCATTCTCCGAGGTCCCTTTCTGGATCTCCAGCGTGCCACAACGACAAGAATTAGATATTGTTGAGGTAAATAACATAACAAATAGGTTGTCATCCAAGAGGAAAATAGGCCACATGTTAATGTAAATTTTAAAATGCGGCACCACAAAGGAAATGAGCACATCTTAAACATATAATCATAAACAGCAGCAGCTACCAGGGCGGGAAACATTATATTCTTATAAGAAAGAAAGGGAACATTACTAATCACCAATGTAGGCTTCACGTAACATTATATAACAAACAGGATAACAGTGAGAAGCAAAGAAACACTAGGAAGAGACAAGAGTCCCCTTTATTTACGATTTGGATGGCTTGAAATCGGTTATGGTTAAATCCAGGTTTTGGTAAGTTTACCGTTAGAACCGTCAAGAATGGTGTATATTAAATTGGTTCATTGCGTCATCTAAACTAATGAAATAGTAAACTACAGAGGACTGTTTAACTTGTGGATAGAAGAATTTGTTTTTTCTTGTAACTTTCATCTTTTAGCCTTTCGTCAATATATTTCTGTCCTTTATCAAAAAATGTAGCAGTGCTTAAGAATAGACAAATGAATTGGTAGCCAAATACAGTGAATTATAGTTTAAATGACTCCACACCCAAAAAAAGTTTTGAGTTCGAGAGATAATGTGTGACATACCGGATCTTTAACCTCAGGTTCAACGATCTCTTTCTTTACTCTGCTTGGTAAAGGCTTACTGTATAAAACATAAATCAGTATATTGCAAAGACGAAAGTGCTAGATAATGAGAGCAAATTATGAGAATAAATTGAAGTACCGTTCATCATCAACCTCCATATCAGAATCTGGATCCCACCTCTCATCTGGGTCATCCTGTTCTTCATTCTCCTGAAAGAAGTTAAAAGGAATAAATATTAAACCATTGAATACAAGCCAATAAAAACAACGTTAAATATTGAGTACATAACAACTGAGATTAGATTGATCTGAACAGGCAAGCTACATTCTTTATACATAGATTAAAAAAAGTAAGAATGGAGCTTTGCCGCTGTTTACATACACAACTTTTCCTTTTGGATCATCACTATACTTGTTAAAAAAGTCTACCGAGACTTCCATCAAGTATTCCACAGTTATCATACTATAGGAAGGAATCGGAAAACATAGGAATGTCAAAATGGAAGCTTGATAGCAAATAGATGGAAGGAAAAGACAGAAATTTGGGGTTTTCTGCTCAGGAAAAATGTGGAGTAAATGCGGGTACCAGGTAGCTCGTTATGCTACAAGAAATCTTGAGAACAACAAGTTATCTATTACAAGTTACTAATTTAGACAATAGACAGAAGACAACCTCATGCACTTTAGCTGTATAATGTCATATCCGAACAATGAACAGTAAATTGCTTTGATAAGTCTAACAAATCAATGCATAAGAAAACATTTCAATCAGATGATTATTATGTTTTGATGAAAATAGAAGATGGAAAAATGAATTAGTTCTGAGAAAATGATTAGTTGCAGAAACATACCTCCGGAAGCTCAGTATCAGGAGGTCTGTCCTGAAATTGGACACTGGGTGCATGCTGAAGCGTGGAGAGGTTTTCAAGAAGCTTTGACCGTATTTCTTCTAGTAACACATGAGAGTTCTTATTTTCCATGTTACTCGGGGCAACGTGAAGAGTGTAATCTGGACCAAAATACTCATAATACTCGTGCTGTGGCATTTTGTCCTCAATTTCTGCTCCAAGTGCTACTCCTGTCTGCATTACAGACAACATATCAAAATCAAAAGAATTCCATAAGACTCAAGACTAAACAAAAATTAGATGCACCAAATACAGATGATGTGGAACTACACATGTCACATTTACAGCAATGTGTTAAGGGGTAGTCGTTTGCCAGGCAATATACTCATATTATGCAATCACAAAACATGAACATGCTATCTGGCAAGAGATTATAACTCGTGATAAAAACCATGCGATATGTTAGCACAATCAGATCACGGGTGAAATAATTTGAAAACGTTAAAAGGTAAAATAGAATACGAGAAGTGTACCTCGTAGCACCAGCAACGAGCAACATTGCGAATGGTATAGCCACCACCACCTAGAAGCAAGAGCGGGACGTTGAAGGATCTCATATATCTAACACACTCAGCATGACCTTTGATAGAAAGATTGAAGCAGCCAAGCCTGTCTCCAGATAAGGAATCAGCACCACACTGGAGAACCACAGCCCCAGGCTTAAAAATTTCCATCACCTTCCCAATGATGGGCTTGAACAAGTAATGGTAGCTCTCATCATCAATCCCGTCATCCAACGGGACATTAAGGGAGTAATACTTCCCTTTTCCGTACCCAATATCGCGAATGTCCCCTGTGCCAGGGAAATAATCCCCAAACTTATGAAACGAAACGGTCATGACCCTGTCTGTCGTGTAAAACGCCTCCTCAACACCGTCTCCATGGTGAATATCAATATCCACATACAAAACGCGCTGTTCAGGCAAAACATTAACAATTTCAGTAACCCATTTCAGAGATTACACAATACAAAACTAAACCAACATCAAAGAGTTTGAAACTTTAACCATGCAATTCACATTTTCGACAACCGAATTCAGAGATCATACAAAACAAAACAAACCCAACAATCCAAACATCAAAAAGCTCAAAACTTTAACACTACGCAATCAGATTAACTAACCTCGTGCTGCTTAAGAAGCTCCAAAATTGCAAGAACAATGTCATTCACATAGCAAAACCCAGAAGCCTCACACTTTTTAGCGTGGTGCAAACCTCCAGCCCAATTAATCGAAATGTCGCAAATCCCATGGTTGAGCTTCACAGCGCCGCCGACCGACCCGCCGGCGTAGGTCTGGCAAAACGAGTACAACCCATCAAAGACAGGGCAGTCCTCGCCGACATTGAACCGCTTGAGCTGCCGCAGCTGGTCCTGCTGGGTTTCCGGGGTGATGTTCCGGAGGAACGCCACGTAATCGTCGGCGTGGAAGCGGCAGAGGTCGCGGTCGCGGGCCGGGTAGGGTTTGAGGACCTGCATGTTCTGGAGGAGGCCGTAGTGGGCGAGGAGGGCGTGGGTCATCCGAATCCGGTGGGGCTTCATCGGGTGGCCCTGCCCATAATAGTAATTTCCCACTTCTGGGTCGTAGAAATAGCTCACCTTCCTCTTCACGCCGTCGGGACCCGACGCTAGAGAGTTGCCGCCGGTGTCCATCGTCGGCGGAAACCAGATTTTTATTGGGGGTTTAAATCGGCGGGTAGGGCATCAAATCAATGTAAGGAAACTGCTTTATTTATATCTGATTTATTTAATGGGGAAAGAAAATGGCTTGGATTTAATTTGAATTGGAAGGAGTGAGAGAGTGAGTGAGAAGAAAGAACAAGAAGTCGCTTTTGTTTGTTGTTTTATTTGTTCCCTCTTCCTTTATTAGGGTTTTTAAGTCTGAGATTGACAAAAATCATTATTTTAATCTTTCATTTTCAAAATTAATTAATATCGTCCTAGACATTTATTATCGCACATCAATTTGGTCATTCCATTTAAATTTCATCAATTATTCTGTTAGTTTGTATGTGAGACTCACAAATCTAATAAAATGGTGACACGTGGATTACACAAAAGATCGGTTTTTATTGCAAATGGTTACTGACATTGATCAAACTCCTCATTTTGATCCCTGAGTTTCAAAAATTGATAAATTTGGTCATTCACTACCACACATCAATTTATTTATGGAAATTTTAACGAAAAGCCCACGGTACTTGTCACTTTAACCAAAAATCATATTTTTACGCTAAAAAGTCAAACCTGGTACTATTCATTTTACCCTTTATTTTGTCCTTATCGTTAAAACTCAAAGTTTTCCTACCATTTTCATTAGTTTTTCTTTTATTTATTCCGTTAAAATTTCATCAATATTTTTTGTTAATGTACTGATATGGTCTCACTAATTCAATCATATGGCTCC